TCCGGGGGGGGGGGGGAGATATATACTCCGAGTCCTTTAAGTCCAAGGAAATCCAGCACACCGACCGGACGGTGCGTTCCATGGCCGGTACTTTGAAGGCTGAAAAAAAAAAAAAAAAGCCCCTCAGCTGCACCAGGCGCGGGAACTACTGCAGCAGCTTCTCCGCGTGGGCTGGCGATCTGGGGCCTGCCGCCCCGCCACCGGCCGGCACTCCAGCGGGCCAGCTGTCCTGCATTTCCCACCCTAGGCTTATACTCGAGTCAATACTTTTTCCCAGTTTTTTGTGGTAAAATTAGGAGTCTCGGCTTATACTCGGGTCGGCTTATACTCAAGTATATACGGTACTTAAAATTATTTGGCAGAGAATTCGACACTTTAATGATGGTCTGGGCCTGGCTGGGGCAATGGCATGCGTGCCCACAGAGAGGGCTCTGAGTGCCACCTCTGGCACCCATGCCATAGGTCCGCCACCACTGCGCTAGTCTGATCCTGCTGCGCGGCCGCATTCTGATCCGCAGCTCCCCCCCGATTTCCCCTGCATCATCTCGATCTCAAAAAACAACGATCGAGAAGACATGGGGTAAATCTGGAGATGCGCTATGGATCAGAATGCAGCCGTGCAGCAAATAATGTGAAATTGACCAGTGCAAGCGGGGGAAACAGAAGAGCGAGGGTGGCACTGTTGCTTGTGGAGAATTGGCTATAATGAGGGCATTCCAGTATCATATGGGAAAGGGAGTCAACCTTTTTGAAATCACATGGGGAATCTTCCTCTTTTCCTTGCTGCCCTCAATCTTTCCTAGCATTCGTGTCTCTTTCAGTGACTCTTGTCTTCTCATGATGTGACCGAAGTACGATAGCCTCAGTTTGGTCATTTTAGCTTCAGGGGTGGTGTTCAAGATTTGATCTAGAGTTTGTGTATTGAATCCCAAAATTTTAATAAAAGAATAGAACTAATGAGTTCTACCTTCTTTCGCAGGATTCTAGGTTTTCCTAACTCCGTCTCCTATTTTTCCCTCTGTGCGGAGCTAGGTTTTCATCTTATTGAATCACGGGCGTGGATCACCACTATTAAATACTGGTTGCATCTGCACTTTAGTTCCCCTCCCAACAGTCTTATTGTTCAACTTCTTGCAGATCCATATACTTCCACCTGGTCACAAACCATAGGGCATAGGGCATAAAATCAAAACTATGGGAATTGACTTGGATTTTCTGTATAACTGCGGCGAAACAGCTATTTTGCAGGTGGTGCGGTGGAGGATTTGGGATATGGAAGCCCAAATAATTAATGCTGGCAGTTCTGGAGTCTGTTCTCCATGCTTCCTTGACCTCTCCCCCCACCCCAAGCCTCTATGGCTTTGTACATCTCTAATCTAACAATTCCACTTTATCGGCGGGTTTTTATGCTAGCGCGATTTAATCTCTTTCCTTCGGCTGTTGTTTCAGGCAGATATAGGGGTATCCCCTATAGGGATAGAACCTGCAATTGTCTCTATAGTGAACCTGATTCAGTTGCTCATATTCTTCTACGCTGTCCCCGATACTCTACCATGCGCAGCTATTTGATCAGTCCCCACTTACCTTCCACAAGGAATTCGACTGACAGTGATCTTGAAATCCTGTTGTCTGATAAGTTCTCGGCAATTACCCTGTCTGTTGCTGAATTCTTAGCTTATGTTTGGAAGCTAAGGGTAAGGGCGCATAAGTCTTAATCCCCCTTGTGCTCATTTGGATTGTTATATTTTTAACTGAGTTCACTATTCTTGAGAAGTTTAAAAATGATCCCCTGTTGGTGTAACTTGATGTAGCTTGTTATGATCTATTAATTCGTTCTATTAATTTATTTGTTCCATTGCCTTCCTTATTGTCCCTGTGTTATGCCAATAAAGGTCTATGTATGTGTATTGAATCCTTGTACGTATAGACAGCCTCGCCATACCTTGCAGAGTCAGAAAGATCCAGGCTGCCCAGATGTTGTGTCCGCTGACCGCCACCGGGGCCAGCGAATATCCCAGAGCTTGACTCTGGAAGAACAATAGGGACTAGGCTCCTAGTCCCTCCACTGGGGAACCAATGAGCACCGTGGCGGGAGATTCAAACCCACCAACGGGGCTCAGGGGTGTGTCCCCAAGAGTGTATATAGTTTGCCTGCCGGCCATTAGCGGCATCTCTTGTTGTGTACCAATAAAGCGTGCTATGCACTATGTCAGTCTTTGTCCTTCATCCATGCGGCAAACTCACTACACAATACCAGAGGAAAGCAGGTCCTTATCACACCCGTGTTCCCAGAGGGCAGCACTTTGTGTTTCTCCGTAGCAAAAGCAAATGAAGTGGGTGGAAGGAGCTGATCCGTGTCCCTACTGACTCCAGCCACAGACCCAATCTGCATTTGCTGTGTAAAGCTGTTTCATTCTGCTGTGGCACCAGCTTCCTTTGCCTTCCATTTGGCTCAGTATAAAAAGTTCGCCGTCTGCATCAGGACAGAGGGAGCGCGCGCGAGGGGGGGGGGAGCAGCCTCCCTGGGGGTCCCGGCAGGGCACTGCACTGTGCTATGCTGTGGGGAGGAAACGGCACCTGCGACCCCCCCAAATAAAGTAAAGGGGGTGACCTGGCGGAGGGGGAGGCAGGGGGCAGGAAAGACAGAACGAGCTGGGTAAGAAACACAAAACACCCAGCAGTTGACAGGCAGGGAGTTCTGGAGACCGCCCCAAGAAATAACAAATTGTTCAGGGTGGGTGTGCTTCCAAACCCCCCCCCCTCCCCAAATGCGATTGCAGGAAAATGCTCCCTGGCTGCTTTTAAACACAGACAACTGGATTTTCAGCTAACTAGTTTCCTTTGTGACAATTTGTGTATCTCCTTAGAAAATTTGGTTATCTCCTTAGAAAACACTCCAGTTGTCTGCTTATCACTCACAGCGGCTTGAGGGCAGGGAGGAGCAATTAAACCACCTTAAAACCAAATCCAAATAACATGGTGGGACACCGTAGTGACCTCAGAGTCACCACTAATTGGCAATAAAATGAAGCAGACAGCCGATGCTGAGACGAAACAGTAGGAGAGCGGACGCGGCATGAAATGCAGACAGAAATTTGTGAGACAATGTGAGATCGTTGGCACAGCGGCATGAAAGACCAATGCAGATTGGACCACAGAGAAGAAAGCCTGTACCCATCTTTACACCCCACTCCTTAAATCCTCCTAGCACCATCTTGGGTCTGTTGGTCACACACTAGTGCGTAACAGAATGTTGGCTTCTGTGTGTATGGAATCCAAAGAAAAATCTGGAAAATGGGTTGAGGGGTAAGGGAGAATAGTGTCAGTGTTCTTATCAGTCTTTTGGGGTGTGTTTATAAAAATCCAGAAGTTACAGCAAATCAGTAACGATGTTTCTTTTTCCCCCCTCTCACACTTCCTGCTAGATCAAAGCGCCCGGTTCCAATTCCAGCCACCAGCCCAAGAATTGACTCTCCTATGCCTGTGATCCCTCATCAAAAGGTATGTGTTACTGGTCATCAGCTCGCCAAGGCTTCTTTAAGGGGCTCCAGCGATAAAAGTGAAATTAGATCCACCGTCTTCTGATGGGCTCGCATCGAGAGGCATTCCAATGGGAAGAGAGTCATTCCCTTTGAAATCAGTTTTCAGGGGAACCCATATTCATTCCAGTGGAAACTCCTTATAGCATTTGGGGATGGTGGGTGGGAAGAACTAATTCACACACAGAAATAAAACAAAACAGAGGGGCTGTGTATGCCAATAGCTTTGTCCTAACAGGACTTTTCAGCTGCATAATGGGCAGTGGTTCAAGCAGGTTTCGCCCGGAATGATAAACCTGATGGATCATTTCTGTCTGTTATGGGCTGTTAAAAGGCACAAGAACTGTTGCCGCAAAAATGAGTTAGCAGCTGTAATTGGCCCTCCTCCCTGCTTTTGGCATTGTGTGCTTAGACGTTTATATGTTCAGACTGAATTATTTTACATATTATTTTAAATGCTGTTCAGATGTTTTTAATACTTTCATGTTCGCCACCTTGGGGACCCTGCTTCGGTGAAAAGGCGGCTTAAAAAATGTTCAAAATGAATAAACAAACCCTCATTGCTTCTCATTCTGCCATGAGTGCACGGCATCCTTGGGTGAAGTTTGGTAACCATACACTCCTTTGGCTGGTAGAGTAGCCCACAGTTCTGTATGTAACCAGAGAAGGGAGAAAGGATATACCGTATTTTTTGGACCATAAGACGCACTTTTTCTTCCAAAAAAAGTGGGAGGAAAAGTGAGTGCATCTTATGGACCGAAGGTTCAGAATATTTTTTTCCCTGTTTTCCTCCTTTAAAAACTAGGTGCGTCTTAAGGTCAGGTGCGTCTTATGGTCCGAAAAATACGGTACTTCGGAGAGGGGGGATGAATATATTTCTTACAGTAAACAACTCTAATAGCAAATTAAAACAATGGGAGAAATTAAAAATGGTGTGCTCCTTTGTTTTCAACGTTGCATTCATCCTGGGCCGTGCCTGGGGTCCTGCAGAGGGTCCCTAGTTTTCCTCCAACATTTTAGGAGACCCCCTAGCAGGATTCTCGTTCCTTTATCCAGAGCTTTCCTCATAGTGAACGAAATGACCGAAACAACCATGTAATGCATTTCAGTTCCCTTCTGTTGTGTTCGGTGGAGTATTATTTTGAACGAAACGACGGGAAAGAGGAATGATATATTAACGGAGTATTTACGGTTTTAGAAGGCATGTAAATGGACACTGAGATGGCCTTAAGAGCTACCTGCACGCCAATGCTCCCTCTAAGCTGTGGAGTCTTGTGAGCAAAAATTCTACTTTGTGAGCTACTGGCATTAAAATTGTGAGCGAGTGATTTGGCTACTGCATAAATGAGTTCACTCTGGAGCCATCCTTCCTAAGTCAAAAATGGATGCGCCGGGGGCTAAAAAAACTGTGAGCTAGCTCACACGAATTCAGCTAAGAGGGAACACTGCCGCACGCATATTCTGCGTGCAGAAGAGAAGGGAGAGGAGTCAAAGTTACTATTGCCCTGGGAGGCTCCTGCCAATGGTCGTTCTGCCGTTTCTTCCTTTGCTAAAGAGAAGAGTTGATCTCAAGAGAGGAGCCGTTCGTTCACTGAAGAGAGGAGTTGGCTCATTGTGGTGCAGTCAGGGCTCTTTTTGTAGCAGGAACTCCTTTGCATATTAGGCCACACCCCCTAATGTAGCCAATCCTCCAAGAGCTTACAGAGCTCTTCTTACAGGGGCTACTGTAAGCTCTTGGAGGATTGGCTACATGAGGGGTGTGTTGCTTAATATGCAAATGAGTACCTGCTACAAAAAGAGTCCTGCCTGGTTCTGTAGATCGATCGTATGGGATAGAAAAATACTTGGACTGACATTTAGGGCCCAACTAGACGTTATGGCGGCCCCGGGTCTTGCTTGGGGTGGGTATTGTTCAGCACATGAAAAGGCATGCGAGGGGGAAACACGTTTGTCTAGTCCTACTGCGTTGTGTGTCTGGCCAGGATCAGGCCCTCGCAGCCTTTTAAAATATCCCCATCTTCTTCAAATGGCATGACTGGTTGTGGAAAGGACCCGGCCTGGAGCCAGGATTTTTTAATTTGGGGGGCCTTGAACTAAGTCAAGGAGCACACACACACACACCCCAAGCAAGTGCCATAAATAAAATTTAAAAATTGGACGTCGTGGGCCTGGGCTGGTTGGGAAGTCAGGGGGCCTTGGTGGTAAGTCAGGGGGCTGGGCCCTGAGAGGCCCCACTGTCGTTACGGGCCCGGAAAGGACTTGTGGCCACTGTAAAGTCTAGTTTGGCTCGTAGGTGCTGTAAAAGGGAAGCATTTCTGCGTCCAGTCTCCGCTTTTAGGTCATGTGTGAACACTCCTGTGAAACAGCCTTAGACTCTATCAAGGTCAGTACTGTCTACAGCAGAGAGCCAGCGCCCCGGTTTCCCGGGAAGAGGTCTTTCACATCACCTCCCACCTCGCCCTTTTTGCAACTGCAGATGGCAGGGACTGAATCTGGGACCTTCTGTGTACAAAGCTGATGCACTAATCCTGAGCCACAGGCCCTTCCCAGCACTGGGGAAACCTCTGAACTGGTTTTATCCACCAACTGGTTGCTGTGTCCCCCTCCCCCCCACACAAAATGGCGTCTGTGTCTAAGCATAATGCTCGGTTGGGTACAGACTTGTCCCTGTAGAAGTGCAAGGTGGCGATTGCTATTCTGCAGTGGAAACCGTCAGAGCATGGGTTAATCCCTGGCGATAATCTTTTTCCGTGGATCAGAGAGGCCTTCGTGTGACCCGTTGCATCTCACGGCTTCTGGCAATGTTTGCATAGGCAGCACAATACCGAAGCAGAAGGAATGGATAATGCCCTTTCATTAAATTTCAAATTCTAACTTGATTGAAAGTTCCTTCTGAAGCAAGCCAGTGTCTGGAGAAAGGGAGCTGAAACACAGTGATTGCGGAATTGCTCTTAAAACAAAAAAAAATTATTTGGAAGGAGCTGTCCATTCAAAAAGAAGGCATGGGCAATCTAAAAGTCACGTATTTCTAAGGGCTGTTCTAAACTCTGAGTGATTGCAAACATACCTTTTCCACCCATGGCGCCCATGGCGAAAGACCACCACCAATTTCACCTCTCTAGCATGGATATTATATATGCATTGTTAACTATATGTCCTGTCTTACATGTACATGTCTAGATGAGCAATGGCCACAATATATTTTATGGGTAATTTAGGTGCTAGGTTGTATGTGAAGAAAACCTATTGTATTGCCAAGGGTTCTTAGACCTAGTTAATGGGAGGGACTTTGGCTCAGCGAATGGAGCTGCGGTGGCTCAAGTGGTTAAGACGCTGAACTGCAGGCTGTGGAAGGTCAGTAGTTCAGCAGTTCGAGACCCGGGTGCCGCATGACGGAGTGAGCTCCCGTCTCTAGTTCCAGCTCCTGCCAACCTAGCAGTTCGAAAGCAAGAAATTGCAAGTAGATAAATAGGTACCACTTTAGTGGGAAAGTAACAACGTTCCGTGCGCCTTGGCGTTTAGTCATGCCGGCCACATGACCACGGAAACGTCTTCGGACAGCGCTGGCTCTTCGGCTTTGAAACGGAGATGAGCACCGCAACCCTAGAGTCGGACTCGACTGGCTTTCGAGCAAGGGAGACCTTTGCCTTTTACCTTGGCTCAGCGATAGAGCACCTGTTTTGCTTGTGGAAGGTCCCAGGTTCATTCCCTGGAGTCTCTGGCTTTAAAACAGGTCAACAGGAAGATGATGTGAAAGACCTCTGCCTGAGACCCAGGAGAGCGGCTGTCAGTCAAAGCTGATGGAAACAGCAAATGAATAAAATAGTTCCTAGACTCTTCACAGCAAGTGGATGCATGAATACCCAAATATTCTCCTGCATGAAATAGCAAATAAATGGAAAGTCAGATGCTAGGGAGACCAGTTCAAGTCTGGTCTTCTCTCAGCTGATATACTAGACTTATAACGGTGTTTTTGTTTGGCTTTTTCCATGCTGGGATAGCATTCAGCCTTGCAATTCATTTGCCTCCGATCCGAATTGGTACTGTCCCAGAACAGTTCTGTTGTCTCAAACGAGTGAGATAACCTTAAAACATGGAGCAGGTTTAGAGACTTCAGGGTGAAATTGCAGTACTGGAAGGCAGATTTTTGAGAGATTTTCATGGTTTGCATCAGGTCTGCATTTCAGCTCCCCCTAGGCTTGCCAAGTCCCCCCGGGGGGCGGGGAAACCCCTGCCCCAGAGGCCCGTTCCCCGCCGCTGCTGGATCGGGCCCCGAGGGGAACTCCACCCGGACGTGCACGTCACCAGGAAGTGACGCGACCATGCCGGGCACGCTGGTCGTGGCCCCGCCTCCAGCATGCCCAGCGTCGTCACGTCACTTCCTGATGACGTGGATGTGGTGTGCGCTCCGGGATCAACCCGGGAGTCCCCCGCTCCGGAACAAGGTGAGACTTGGCAACCCTAGCTCCCCCTCTGAACCCACAGTAAGAAGATGTTTCTCCCCATTTCCCTTCTCCCTACCACATTTCCCATCCAATTAGTGACTGAGCGAGAAACCAGAACTTATGTGTGCACCTTGGGAATGTGACAGAGATAGGAATAGCAATCCCTTAGTTTTGTCATGAGTCACTAGAATATTCATCTAGAGAGAAATGTCCTCTGGGTCAGATTAGGTACAAGGCTGATGACAGGCAAGGCAATATGAAGGAATTAGAATGATGGTGTATATAGCCAGGGAAGAGGGTGGGGCAGATGTAGAAGTGAAAGTTGGTAGTTGAGTAGCAATGTAATTTTTGAAAAGACAGTTGTCTCAGTCTCTTGCAACAAAAAAGAAAGGAAAGATAAGACAAGGAAAGCAAAGGCCCTTATCCTTAAAGACCGACAGATGCATTGTGACATGCATTTTCACAGGCAAGAGCCTACTTAGTCAGATTGATGAGGTGGCAGTGTGTGAAGTCCTAG